CTGTAGTCTTCAGTCTTCATCAGTAAGTGCTTCAAGTCATCCTCACTTTCAGCAAGCAAAGTTGTGTCATCAGCATATCTCAGGTTGTTAATGATTCCTCCTCCAATTCTGATGCCACATTCTTCTTCATAGAGTCCAGCTTCTCCAATTATTTGCTCAGCATATAGATTAAATAAATATGGTGAAAGGATACAACCATGACACACTCTCTTCTTGATTTTAAACCATGCATTGTCCCCTTGTTCTGTTCAAATGACAGCCTCCTGGTCTATGTATAGGTTCCTCATGAGTACAATTAAGTGTTCTGTAATTCCCATTCTTCTCAATGTTATCCATAATTTGTTATGATCCACATAATCAAATGCTTTTGCATAATCAATAATAATAATAAAAAAAGTAAACATCTTTCTGGTATTCTTTGCTTTGAGCCAAGATCCATCTGACAACAGCAATGATACCGTCCACTTCTGAATCCAGTTTACCTCTGGAAGTTCTCTGTCAATGTACTGCAGCAACCATTTTTGAATTATCTTCAGTAAGATTTTACTTGCGTGTGATATCAATACTGTTTAATAATTTCCACATTCTGTGGGATCACCTTTCTTTGAAATAGGTACAAATATGGATCTCTTCCAGTCAGTTGGCCAGGTAGCTGTCTTCCAAATCTCTTAGCATAACCAAGTGAGTGCCTCCAGTGGGGCATCTGTTTGTTGAAACATCTCAATGGGTTTTCCGTCAATTCCTGGAGCCTTGTTCTTCACCAATTCCTTCAGTGCAGCTTCGACTTCTTCCTTTAATAACATTGGTTCTTGAACATATGCCACCTTCTGAAATGGATGAAGATCGACCAGTTCTTTTTGGTACAGTGACTCTGTATTCTTTCCATCTTCTTTTGATGCTTCCTGCATCATTCAATATTTTCCCCATAGAATCTTTCAATTGCAACTTGAGGCCTACATTTTTTCCTCAGTTCTTTCAGCTTGAGAAATGCTGAGTGTATTCTTCCCTTTTGGTTTTCTAACTCCAGGTCTTTGCACATTTTATTACAATAATTGGCTTTGCTTGAGCTTCTCTTTGAAATCTTCTGTTCAGCTCTTTTATCTTGTCATTTCTTCCATTTGCTTTAGGTATTCTCTGTTCAAGAGCAAGTTTCAGAGTCTCTTCTGTTATCCATTTTGGTCTTTTCTTGTCTCTTTAATGACGTCTTGCTTTCTTCATGGATGATGCTCTTGATGTCATCCCACAATTCTTCTGGTTTTTGGTCACTGGTGTTCAGTGCATCAAATCTTTTCTTCAGATGGACTCTAAATTCAGGAGGGATATATTCAAAGTTATATTTCGGCTCTCGTGGGCTTGTTTTGTCTTCAATTTCAAGTTGAACTTTCATATGAGCAGTTGATGGTCTGTTCCACAGTCAGCTCCTGGCCTTGTTGTGGCTGAAGATACTGATCTTTTCCATCACCTTTTGCCACAGATGTAGTCAGTCTGCTTCCTGTGTACTCCATCTGGCGAAGTCCATATGTATAGCTGCTTTTTGTGTTGTTGAAAAAGGTATTTGCAATGAGTAAGTCATTGGTTTTGCAAAATTCTACCATGCAATCTCCAGCATTATTTCTGTCACCAAGGCCAATTTTCCAACTACCGGTGATTCTTCTTTGTTCCCAACTTTTGCATTCCACTCACCAGTGATAATTAACACATTTTGATTTTACGTTTGGTCAGAGTATCATGGACTACTAAAAGAACTAACAGGTCTGTCCTGGAGGAAGTGCCATAGGAATGCACCTTAGAAGTGAGAATGGCCAGACTTCTTCTCACCTACTTTGGTCATGTTGTCAGATGGGACCAGTTCCTGGAGAAGGATGTCATGCTTGGTAAGGTGGAGGGTTGACGAAAGAGGGGAAGGCCCTCAATGAGATGGATTGACACAGTGACTGCGGCGATGGGCTCAAGTATAGCAAGGATTGTGGACCTGGCACGGGACTGGACGGTGTTTCTGTTCTTTTGTGCATAGGGTTGCTATGAGTTGCAGACAACTTGATGGCACCTAGCAACAACAACATTGTCAACTTATGATTTTCAGTATAGATGAGTGGGTAGATGGATGAATAGATAGATACAGAAATAAAAATAGATATTTGTGTGTGTGTATAATATGTATTTGTATGGGTAAGTATATACATACACATGAAAAGGACTGCCATCTGTGACACCCAAAAACAACGAATGTATTTAGTGCCCAAATCTTACTTTTAACAGCCATCTACCATTTTTAAAGGAGTCAGGGCTCCTTGGAGAAATGAGGCTGGAAAAGCATAAGAACCTGGAGTACCTTATTTTGCCAGTGAGCAAACAAATGCTTAAAGAAGATGTAGGACATGCCAGAAGTGCACAGGGTCTAGCTTGAAGAGATCGCAGATTCATAATATATGGGACATTTTGAGCATCAAGATAAATAATGACGGTAATGGATTAAAACTCATTGAATAAAATGTGAAATCATAGTTCTATAATGATACAAACTAATAAATGAATACATTGAAA